TGCCCTCTCCTGAAGTCCTTGCTGAATCTTTACTCGCTAAAGGCGTTTTGCAACAAGCTGACATCCTCAGGCTGTATGCAGCTCTTCCTAGTGAAGTTGTGGCGCGCAACACAACTGAAACCGAGGGCAGGGCCTTCGGTGTCGGTGCTTGGATTCATGGAGGCGTTGGCGGGTTGCGCCAGAACACACACCGTTTTCCTTTGACTTGCAGAGTCCTGTGTGCTTTTGTTAGGCAAAGGTGCGCCAGTCACAATTTTTCGTCACTAATCCTGCTTGAAAACAGTCAGGCCGGCTTACATACTGATTCGCACAACGATGCCTCTTCCTTAAATGCTGTCCTTGCCATAAGCAGCTTTGAGGGGGGGGAGATTTTTGTAGAGAATGAACTAGGCTCTCACCGCCGCAACTTTGAAGGCGAAACGCTGCGAGGCGACATTTTGTCTCCTCAAGATGGCCCCGCCATCTTTTCTGCTAGGCGTTGCAGACATGCTGTGCTTCCTTGGCAAGGGTATAGGTTGGTGCTAGTGGCATATTCCATCAGGAGCATCGACAAACTGCCTGCCTCGGATCTGCAGACGCTCACATCTTTGGGGTTCCCGCTTCTCTCCCCCTCGTCGCAAGATCAAGCTGATCTCCAGGACCAGGGTTGCCCTAAAGGCCAGGCTTGTTTCTTGGAGCTTTTTAGTGGCTGCGGCTCGCTTTCGCGAGCGTGTATGGATCAAGGGTTTGATGTTGTTCCCATCGACCACCAGGCACGGGCGCCTCTGGTGCCAACAGTCCAGCTTGACCTGACGCATCACGGCTGTCAGGAGACTTGTATCGGCCTGCTTCGCAGTCGCAATCCTTGTGCCATCCACATGGCGCCGCCGTGTGGGACCTGCTCGCGAGCTCGCGAGAGGCCAATTCCCGCATCAGCCAAGGCGATTGGTGTGCCTGAACCTGTTCCCTTAAGGTCCGCCGACCACCCCTTAGGGTTACCTTCAATAGACCCGGGTTCCCTAAATGGCCAGCGCTTGCAATCTGCAAACAAGTTGTATGACTTCTGTTTTCGCGTGCTCACCTGGGCTCTTGAGGCAGGGGCTCAGATCACCATCGAGAATCCCACCAATTCGTGGTACTGGTCCATCCTTGCCTTGCAAATCCGACGGTGCAAGGACAAACAGCTTAAGGCCCGGCTTGTTGAGATGCAACCAGTTGTCTTTGACATGTGTATGCATGGTGGGTCTCGCCCGAAATCCACCAAGCTTCTTTGCAGTTCCCATGCTTTTCAGTCGCTGGCCCTTGCGTGCGATAAATCTCATGAGCACCTTCCTTGGAGTGTCAAATGGGCCAAATCAGGTTGGCTTTTTAGTACGCACCTTGAGTCGGCTTACCCTGCGGTCCTTGCCGAGCGCATGGCCGCATGTTTCAAGACAGCAGCTATCAGTGTAGGGTGGGCTTGCATGCCACCGCATGTGCCCAGGTTGCAGGCTCTCGCGGCCCAGGGCCGTCAGCATCGTCGTCACCCGCCGTTGATATCTGAGTTTTCCTGCATTCGTTCCATGCGTAGAGATGAGATTCCAACAACAGGCTGCAAAGCCCTACAGCCTCCAATTGAGGGGGTGAGTTCGGGGAGTGAGCTTTGCAGGGTTGGGTTTTATCGTAGCCCAGAGCAATGGATGGACGAGGCCGTCAGCCTCGCCCACCCGATGGATGTTGCTGCGGCCCTTCCGAAAATCACGTTGGATGCCATCTTAAAAAGCTTCTCTTCTGATCAGAAGTCTCTGGCCCTTAAGCGTAAGATTGCCTTGATGAAGGCCGAGATCCTCGCTAAAAAGCTTGAGAAGGATGAGGAAGCTTTGCATAGATCAATGCCAGATTGGATGCAAGGTGTTGTTCATGACAAGCGCATCCTCCTTTGGGAAGCGTTGCTCCGCCAGTCTGATTA